TAATGGAGTTTATTTCTAGACCAGTCACCATCACAATTAGGGGAGCTCAATACAAAATCAAGGTGACAGAGGAGGAATCAACAGAGCACTTGTTTAGATTAAAATCAGATTATGCTTTTAGCAACCATGAGGACTCGGAGGATAGTGAGTCTTGGTCATTGGGGAGTAATGCACAGTCGGAGTATGGCAAGGAAGCTTATGGTTTTCAGGGTAAAAGCTCACACTGTGTGGAAGAACAGGATGCAATGAAAGCTGCAAATGATGACGTGGCATTTGCACGTTGGAAGGATGAGGAAAAGTCAGTAAATCATATGGAGGATGAAGAAGTCAGAAAATCAAAAGAAAAAATAGAGAGTAGAGTGGCGGTAGATGTCTCACAAGCCAGAAATTTGAATTTAGACTCTTTGGAAGTGGTGCTTGATAGCTTGATGTGCTTAGAGTCCCAAGAGGTGGCCAATGGCAGGGATAATAAATGCCAAGCACAAGAAGAAGTCAGGGGAAGTCTGGAAATGGGTGAAGATGACGAGCTAACTCAAAGAGAAACTGATTGGCCCAATGAAGATGGGCTAGCTGCAAGGAATACCAAAAATAGTGAAAAAGCCATCATGGGAGATCCCTTGAGAGGAAGGCCAGATGGGCGATGGCTGAAATGGGTCCAATGGCTCAAAATAGTGATGACAATACAAAGGAAGATGGACTAGAGCCAAAAAAACAAAACGAATATTGGGAAACAAATTAATACAGAGGAGACCACCGGAAATTTCTGGAAAGAAATCGACAGTGACTTAGGGGGGATTGCCGATTGGATAGACAGGGCTAATAAACAAAATCTGAGTAAGTCGAAGAGGAAGAAAGCAAGGAAAGCAAGATTATGCCTAGAGGTCTATAAAATGTCAAGAATATGCAAGGAGGCAACGATTCAAAAAAAAGGGAAGGGGAAGAGAAGTCACGCATGCAATCCGACGGAGAAACTTCCAGATTTTTTACCGGGATCACAAAGTTTGACAGCAGGTGCCTCAGTGGGTGATAGCGACATTATGAAGAGGAACTAGAGTCTCCGAGCAAACCAGAACCACAGAGGGGCAAGGGAAATATGGGAGACTGCAAAGGAAATTGGGTTGGTGGCAAACGGGAATGAAGAGGAAATTACCCAAAAGATAGATCAAATGGAAATCAGAGACAGGAAAGCAAAAGATCGCTTGAGGAAGCAGTGCGATGAGGAAGATAAAATAGGTAATTTAGCTCTAGAATGATTATTTTATCTTTAAATGCAAAAGGAATAGGGGGTGAGGGGAAGAAAAGAGGGATCTTAAATCTAGTTAAAAAGGAGAGGATAGAGTTTCTGGCATTACAGGAAACTAAAATGGAAAGGGTGGATACAAGAGTATGTAGAGCTTTATGGGGCACGAATGAGTGCAAATGGGTAGCAAAACCTTCTAATGGCAGATCGGGAGGCCTATTATACATTTGGGACCCAAATTGTTTCATCAGAGACAAAGTTTTTGAAGGACAAAATTTTTTAAGGGTGTTCGGATTTTGGGGACAGAATAAAGTGCCTGTGTACATTGTTAATGTGTACTCACCTTGTGATATAGAAGGCAAAAGACTGTTGTGGGAGGAGATTAAAAATGCAGTGACAACAAGCAGGGGAAATTGGTGTGTGCTAGGGGATTTTAATGCAGTAAAGTCACAACATGAAAGGGTGGGGAGTAGTGGAAATATAAGAGAAATGAGGGAGTTCAAGCAGTTTATACATGCCTTCGGTTTAGTAGATCTACCCCTGGTTGGAAGAAAATTCACATGCTATCACTCAAATGGTAGTGCTATAAGCAGGCTGGATAGAATTTTGTTGTTTGAAGAATGGTTGTTAAACTGGGAGGATGTGACACAGTGGGGATTAAAGAGAACAATATCAGATCATTGTCCAGTGATATTGAAAAATGAGAAGGTTGATTGGGACCCTAAACCTTTTAGATTGTTTGATGTGTGGATGGAGAAACTGGGATTCAGGGAATTGGTGGAGGAAACTTGGCAATTGACTGAGGTACAGGGATGGAAAGGTTTCTGTTTAAAAGAAAAATTGAAAAAGTTGAAGAATGCCTTGAAAAGTTGGAGTCACAATTATATGGAGGAGGTTGATCAGAAGATAACCAATGTAGAACATATCATAGCAGATTTAGATAAGAAAGGAGAGGGACAACAACTTTCAGAAGAAGAGATAGAAGAAAGGAGGGAGGGATTTGCAGAACTATGGAAAAACATAAGAATTAAAAATAGAATGTGGCAAGAGAAAGCAAAGAGGACATGGCTACGGGAGGGAGATGCAAACACAGCATTCTATCACAAATTCTTTCAAAACAGAAAGAGAAGGAATGAAATAAATAGCATCCTGGTCAACGGCAGGCAGTGTGAGCAGGTAGCAGTGGTTAAAGAGGAGATTGCAAAGCATTTCCAAAACTTATTCACGGAAGAAATGTGGAGCAGACCGAAGTTGGAAAATATGAGTTTTGAGCAAATCTCTGAGGCACAAAATTGTTTCCTTACAGCCCCATTCACTGAGGAGGAGATTAGAGTAGCAGTGTGGGATTGTGACAGCTCAAAGGCACCAGGGCCTGATGGTCTCAACTTTAGGTTTGTAAAATTATTCTGGGGGACGATAAAAAAGGAGATAATGGAATTTATTCAAGAGTTCCATGATACGGGCAAGTTGGTGAAGGGTGCAAATGAATCTTTTGTAGTTCTAATCCCAAAAGTCAACGATCCTGTAAAAATAGAAGAATACAGGCCTATCTCATTAATCGGGGTGATGTATAAAATCTTGTCAAAACTCATAGCAAACAGATTGAGAAATGTGTTAGATGGACAGTAATTGGAGACACCCAAATGGCTTTTATTGCAGGAAGACAGTTACCAGAAAGTGTTGTGATCGCAAATGAAGTGCTGGATGAGGTAAAGAACAAGAAACGAAAAAGCTTCTTTTTTAAGGCAGACTTTGAAAAGGCATATGACAATGTCTGTTGGAACATCCTAGACTCAATGATGAACAAAATGGGGTTTAGCGAAAAATGGAGGAAATGGATTCAAGAATGCCTAAAAACTGCATCAATATCTGTGCTAATAAATGGCAACCCCTCACAACAAATCAAGATGTCAAAAGGCCTGAGACAAGGGGACCCATTATCCCCTTTTCTATTTTTGTTGGTAGCAAAAGGTCTGAATGGGTTGATAATGAAGGCTGTAAGCAAGGGATTACTAGAAGGCATTAAAGTGGGGAAGGGTGAATTAAGCATATCCCATTTACAATTTGCAGATGATACCTTGATCATGGGGGAGGCAGAAGAAAAGAATATATGGGCTGTCAAGTGTATCATGAGAAGTTTTGAATTGGTGTTAGGATTGAAGATCAATTATGCTAAGAGCCAGTTAATGGGTGTTAATGTGGAAGAGGAATGGGTAACCCGGATGGCAAGCCTGTTAAATTGCAAGATTGGCACAATACCTTTCAAATATTTGGGCACTTGGGTAGGTGGCAATCCAAGAAACATCATGTTCTGGAGAGAGCTGATTGAATCTTTCGAGAAGAAGTTAGCAAAATGGAAAGGCAAGTATGTCTCAACGGGTGGCCGGATAACTCTTATAAACTCAGTATTGTCTTCATTGCCCGTGTTCCAAATGTCGACTCATCTTCTCCCAAAAGGTACGCTATCCTT